GTTTTACCTTCTGCCCGTAAATTCTGTCCAATTACCGCGCCCGGGCCTGTTCTTGTGACTTACGAGGCGTGCTCAAACAAAGCCAACATTGTAAAACCCCATCTCTATAACACGCTCCGCTCAATTAGTCCTCTCGCACCGCCGTTATCGCCTCGCCCGGCCCGTGTTAATTCTCAAAAATTTGTCATCCCTCATAAATTAGAGTGATTCCAAAACGCTTGGTGTGACTAATCGCTGCGACCAAGTGCCATCTATCAAAGCTGCTGCTGCTTGTGGTGTGCTGGGCTTTGGATAATAATTGGGTGAGGATAACTGTGTTGTGCTTTTGGGAAGGGAGGAGAGAAAGGCCAAAAACAAAAACAGAGATTGAGTGAGCCGAGAGAGAAGGCGAGGCTAGAGAGGACGGAGCAGAGCAGGGAGGTGATTAGGAGCAGATTGAAGCGGGAGCTGTCAGGGGGAGGGGTGATTGAGAGCCAGTGACGCAGCAGGATTTTAGCGAGGAAAAAAGCGAGTATACATTTGATACAGTTCGATTTTATGGGATATCTTTGAAGCTTTGTTGAGAAATGCCCAAGTTTGAGAAAAGAAAGCATAATGTCATTGTCTTTTTGAGTTTAAACGCATAAAAACCTGTGTGCTTCGATCGAGGTGTGAAAAAAACCAGCACGCTTGTTGGAATGACTTTATCTAAATGTTTCTGTCACGTTTTTGCTGACATGTTGCCACGGAAACCAGATACTACAGAGACAGGGCCAGAAGATGCATTCAAGAGCACAGTGAAAAAATGATAGAAATGTACAGTTTCTGTATCTGGTTCATTGTTTTTGTTATGGGCCTTGCCCCAAAGCATTTCTCCTTTCCTTCACCCCTTCAGCTAGGCCGCTTCTATACCACTTACTTGGCTGAAGACCCGCACCTGCCTGATACCAATCTTCCAGGACATGAAAGGTATTGGACTAAACAGAACACAGATGTCTGCGTGCAAAGCTGCAGCTATTTTGTTTATTATACATTTTGCTTGTTTTATTATTATTGTTAGTGATGTAAGACAAACATAATTTCTATTTAATCGACAGTGGCTCAGTTGGTACAGCATTAACCTCTGAGCCTGAAGGTTGTGGGTTTGAGCCCACAACAAATGGATTAAGAGGTAGAAAATGGATGGATGGGTGGTATTTAATCTACGGCCTCTCACTTTCATCTTTTATTTCTAATACCAGTTCACACTGAGCCTGCTAACATCAAAGCGTTATAGTGCTACCTCCATGGACTGCTTTTTGGTCATGTGACATGCAGCAAAATCAAGAAATATGAGGCATTGAATTGCACTGGGGAAATATTGAATGAATGACTTGTGCTTCTGCAGTTGAGCCTGTGTGACTAAGATGTTGCAGTAATACTTGTATGATAGTGTTTTACAAGTTACACAACGTCTCTCTGAAAGTGTTCCTTGTCTCGTTCCTGCTCTTGTGCCTTACAAGGCTCAAACAAAGCCAATATTGTGAAAACCCATCTCTATAACACACTCCGCTTAATTAATATGATATGTTGGAAGCTCCTAGAATCTTTAAGAAGCTCTATTGTTCTACTATTTAAGTATTAAGTTGAGTATTTATTTCATTTGTGTCCATTCTGTATGTCTGGAATAACCTTTGGAAATCTTCTATTATAAGAGTTGTGCCAGAAATTATGCAGTGGTGGGGTCCCCCACGGGACAGTCCTCGCGCCGTTCCTCTTCACCCTCTACACTGCGCATTTCAGACACAACACGGACGGTTGTGTCCTCCAGACGTTCTCCAATGACTCTGCCATCATTGGACTCAGCTCCGAGGTCGATGACACAGAGTACAGAGGAGTTATACAGAACTTTGTGGACTGGTGTCAGCGGAACCACCTCCTCATCAACGCAGGGAAGACCAAGGAGATGGTGGTGGATTTCCGCAGACGTCACTCTGCCGCTCCAGCCCCAGTGAACATCCAGGGTAAGGACATCGAGAGAGTGGACTCTTACAAGTACCTGGGTGTTCATCTGAACCACACACTGGACTGGACTCATAACACAAACGCCCTCTTCAAGAAGGGCCAGAGCCTGGGTCTGCTGGAACAGCAGCATCAGAGGGACAGGAAGAAGCTGGACAAGGTCATCAGGAAGTCCAGCTCAGTCCTGGGCTGTTCCCTGGACACAGTGCAGCAGGTGGGGGACAGGAGGGTCCTGGACAAATTAACATCTATGCTGGACCATGACTGTCGCCCCCTGCAGGACACTCTCTCTGCTCTGGAGAGCAGCTTCAGTGACAGACTAATTCACCCTCGCTGTGTGAGGGATGGGTTTCGCAGGTCCTTCCTACCTGATGCTGTCAGACTGTACAACGAGAATGTGTAACGAGAACTGCTGAGTCTGTACTGATATTTCACTAATAACTTTTTCACTAGTCACTTTACCTGTTATTAGTATACTGCATTATTACATATCCATCTGATATTTCTGCCATTCACGAGCCACTTTACCTGTTGATATTATTTTTGATGCTTATTCTGCTCGTATTCATATTCTCATATTCTCCGCTGCTACAATATACACATCTGTAAATACTTCTGACCAAGTGCAATTATAGCCCCAGAGTTTATCTTATTTTATTTCATTCTTTATCTAAATTTTATTGTCTATTATTTTAAATAATAGAATTATTTGATAAGTGCAATCTGAGTGCTCTTGTTTCCTTCTTTCTCTGCTGTTATGTGCGCAACGATGACACTGAAATTTTTCCACTGTGAGACGAATAACGGTTTATCTTATCTTATCAGTGATTTGACATGTATGTTGCTTGTCCCCTGCTGGCCGGTAGCAGTATTGCACACTTTTTGAACCAAATTACAGGTCATGTAAACTGTAGCAGAGTGGTCAGACCAGTTTAAGAGCTACACCGAACAGTTTTGTGAACGTGCTCATTATTTGGAACTTGCAGCACAAATCGTCTCTGTCCAAGTCTGTTCAAACACTCCATTTGCAAACTTTGTGATGAATCCTTACATACATGAACACATTTCAATAAGTTTTGGTATTTGAAATATCAATATTGATCTATTCTTTACCTAAAGAGAGACCAAAAGTTTGCACACTTAATATTTTTCTATAGAGAGATCTGTAGAGATACAGATTTTGTTGATGAACAAAAGATTTGTTTTACTTTGAGCTCAAAGGCCCAAGTGACAGCCCAATAATGTACTATTTTGCAGTCAGTACACCTGAATTTGGATGGTATAAGTTTTGGATGTTTTTCTTTTTTTCTCAAGTTAGTCCTTGATACCGTTTCCATACTGGTCGTGTGTGGGTGTACATTTCTCTATTCTACACTTTATGAATAGTCTGAAATAACTCCAAGTTATGAAATAACTCCAAGATCGTAGACATTAACTTATATATACTTATTACTTCTACATCTTTACATGTCCTTTCAGAGGTTAATAAAGAAACCCCCAGTTTCATATAGAAAATAGTTTCTGCGTGAAACTTTGCATCTTTGTCTTACTAGAAATACAAAAATATACACTTACACAAACATGCGCTCATGATCGGGTTACAGCCAACACTTCTGGAAGGGACCATAACCTCCAACCCGAGCTCTGGCCACTGCTCCGCAAATTCAGATCCAGTGTGACAGCAAGCAAACACCTGAGAGCCAGCAAATACACTCTAACCCTACATTCACAAACAAATGAGCCTCTAGTCAACATCTTTGCCATTTAAAATGCATTTCAACATTGTGTACAAACACATTAGCCGTGCCGTATGTTCAGGCATCCATTGAAACCACAGGATGGGTTAACGTTTGTTTCGACGACATGAACAAACTCATAACAAAGCCAACAGCTGGACGATAAAGACAACTATAAAGCTGCGCACAAGGCAACTAACATGGTTTATTGTGACTTTGTTAAAGCGCTCAAGCGATACAAAAATTGAATTATAATTAGTTTGAGTTTATTTGGGTGTTCCCGCCGCCTTCTCAGTCGAGGTGAGGCTCTGAGCTCTGCGCACGCACAAACAAGTGAGTGAACACAGTGAAACAACAAAGACTGCATTTGCCTTTCTTTACTTTTTATTATTTTATTCATGGACCAATTCAAATCTATCAGCAGCCACAAGCATATTTCCAACAGAATATGTCCAATCTATCCATTCCTTTTGTGTGGATGGAAACCATGCCACACCAAGCATGGCCTGTGCATACAAACCTGCACATTTAGAGCCAAGTCTGATAATAACCCCAATTTACACGGTTACAGTTACGTCCAAGAACAGCTTTTCCATGTAATGAGCCTGACCATTTACACCAGCACTGAAATATGCCTGTCTTGCATTGGCATGTTTACATGAAGATATTGCAGCTGCATGTTTAGACACATGATTTGGTACTAATTTATTTATGTCATTCGAACATGAAATGCTCATTGAGGTTTGGTGATTAGACCAAAGCAGAAATGGTACATGAAGTAAGAAGGACTGAACTTAAAAGAGAATATGAGCATGAACCCTGTTGGTGGTGGAAGATAGCGATGAGGAGGAGGTAGATTGCTGCACAAACAGCAGCTTTTTCATTATGGATTTTGCCTGTTATGCACTCATATTTTGAACTACTTACATATGCATAACGCTGCTCCGCCCCCTGCTTTACTTACTCTGTTTACATATTTTATAGCGTCAAATTCCCACAAAATGTACTGTGGTTGAACCACTGAAAGGACTTGAACAAACATATTTTGAGTTTGCAAATATTTATTTATTGTTTTTATTTGCTTTTTTCCTGAAGAAGCGGTCTCAGAGGATGGAAATTTCCACTCTCATAGTCCAAATGCCTAATTTTTATTCAAGATGAATAAAAAAAACGTAACTTAACTTCAGCCTCCAGGTGGGCCATACCATTGGTAAAAGTATGTTGTGGAACACAGCAATTACTGTACATGTCCTGGTCAGTGCTAGGAGTGAACCCGGTTTGTGGTCAGTCACAGAACAGCCATAACTCCCTCACCATGGTCAGACACTCACTGCTGAAGGTTAGGTTGTAGGGCGGGATTAACGCCTGCCTGAACCTGAAGATGACTCGACACACAGACCTCAGGATGGAGCCCAAAGTGCGCCTCTTAGGAATCCTCTCGAGATGTTTGGGGATGGCCTCCGTGATGAGGTCAGGCTCGTTTAGGGCTAACATACTCAGCGCCTTCTTGGAGTGAATTTGGTGCAGGTCTTCGTAAATTTGTTGTGCCACATCTGCAATGTTGTGCTGATCAGGTTTCACATGAACATTGCACTGAATCTACAATGTCTGCACGTGCCCCAAGAGCGACTTGGAACACCTGGCCAGTTTCTGCGGGTTTCTGGTTCCAAATACCTGCGCAGACAACTCAAACATCCGATTGAACCGGTCCCAATCACTCCACATGAAGTGGTCAGACTCCTGTGCTGAAGCTATATTCTCATCAGCTGTTATGAAGTTTCTCTGCTTCTGATCATTTTTCCTCTTAAGTTCCTGAGCATATCTCCGGGTGGGACTCTCTGAAAGACTCCGTTGAGGCTCTTTCCTGGATAGAGCTTATTGGTTGTGGCATGCTTATTCATTTCAGGATGCAGACTGTGATTTTGGCAGCGCTATTCTCAGGTTCCAAAAAGATTGTAAAATGCATCCCGCTCCCCAGTTTCTCACTCACATCTTGGTATACAGCATTAGCTACCTCTCTGATACGATGCAGATCAGGTTTGATCCGGACACTATATCCAGATTTCTGTTTCTCCACATTCTTCAAGAGCAGCTGGAAGATGGAAGATGTTCTTTGGGGATCAGATATGAGGTTGTGGGTTGTGTGCAACAATTAAAATCAGACTTTACTTATAGGATCAAGACTTAGAATAAGAATGTAAATATTGTAACTCATGTCTCCACTGTGGCCGTAATAACCCTTTTTTTGTTTTACTGTGTGTTGGAATATCTTGAATAAATCCTTCCAGTGCATAATTCCTCTACAATGCTCCTCGCCTTAGCAATTTTGCAAATGAGATGAGCAGAAAATGGTAAAACTTGAACGTAAGTTATTAAAAAAACAGGCTGGAGGAGTTTTTCAGTAATGAGGAGCTTGAACTTCGACAAGACATGCTACAGTAGGAGACCACTTTTAGTAGTGAGCTGTACTAAATAGGACAATCCCCAAACTTTTCCTATGTCCAAAATGCCCTTCACCGGTTCACAGCCCACTTTACATGCCCCGTGGGTGCAGCTGCCAGCAGAAGCCGCTGCTCTGTCAGCCCTGTCACCGGAGCGTCACGCGTGTGCGCTCCGCTGCGTGCTGATAAAGACACAGTCAGCGCCACGTCGCTCCGATCGATGCAGTCGATGCCAGAACAATGCAGAGGAAACGGAAGCTAAGCATGGTCGCACACAAAAGAGGTTAGCAAGATACTGCAGCGTCTGACAAGTGTGCTAAGTGGTCAGCCAATCAGAGTGCACACAGGTGAACTATAGTCAAATAACATGGAAGCCCTTCCTATACCAATAATAAAGAATTAATTGTTATTATTCGCAATCCAATCAAAATGTCATTTTTTTTGTGGCAGCGTATAGCCAAGCATCAAGATTGAAATTAGTTAAATAATTTGCAGAAAATAAAACAGAAAATGATCTTGTTTGATATATATTTGACATATCTGTCTAGGCCTGTATAGTTTAAAGCTCTGAAACATGTTCAGAAGTACAGGACAGAGGTCATTGCACATATCGAAAAGTAACAGTTAACTTAAGGTAGTATGTGGCGCCACTTGCATCTGAAGCTAAGCGGGGCAGGGCCTGGTTAGTTAAGTGATGGCAGTCCTCTGGGAACACCAGGTGCCACAGTGGGGCACCTGGAACTGTAAAGTGCCAAACTGTTGTTGTGTCCTTAGACAAGACACTTCACCCACATTGTCTAGAAAGAGTCCGATGTGTGCGTGAATGATTTAGCCCATGGCTACAACTCGGAGAGGTGTGGTCAATAACACGCACTGTCCAAACCAAATAAACAATACATTTAGTACATTTTCTCCATGAAATTTGAATCCTCCTTGCACTTTGAACATTATAACACACATTACTAATCTATCCCTTTTCTTCCCCTTAATCAATTTCTGGGTCGGGGGGTTGCGGTCAGAGCTGCACACAGTGCACAGAAGACCAGCCCCTCACTGATCCTCCTGCAGGTGGTAAGTCCACAGGAGCCTTGATCTTTCATTAGGGGCTTCAGGCAAAGTGGGGTTAAGTGTCTTGCCCAAGTACACGACATTAGCTGACATCAGTGGGAGTTGTGAAGAACGTCTTGTGATGGGCCCGAACCCACACCCTTCAGGCCCAAAGGCCAATGCTCTACCAACTGAGCCAAATTGCAAAATTTATCTGAAATATCACTGTTAGATATTTCCGTAAAAATCATGCAGTCCTCAGGCCACAGTACAAGGATCCTGCATTTACACAAGGACCACAACTTTTATTGTGCTTTTTTAGATACTCAAAGACTGCAATTCAACCAATTTCCACAAATCTTGGAAGCTCAGATCGACACACCAAGTTTTTGAGATTTAAGCACGTTGTAACATTGATCTCTCGATAACAAACAGACCTGGAGTTACCTTAAGCTTCATCTGCATTAATGAAGAACTATACATGCTTATGTTTAAATATTTTGTCTTCAAACTTGTTATGTTAAGACTTTCACTTTTATCCTTTGGAAATGCATGCCTTCCATTCCGTGTTTTTTTTTTTTTCTTTATGTTGGATCACAATCTTACAATCATGTTTTGTCACAACTCACAACAGAAAGGGTCTTTTAGCCTTGCTCCTTTATTTTGCTAAAGAAAGATATTTTATTTTCAGTATAGAGTCATTGTTCACTTTTCTTGTGGTGTATGTTCCTCATTCCTACTGTTCTGTAACTGGTTCTGGAATAGTCTTCCTGAAAATGTAAGGCCTCTTCTCTGACAATGTTTAAATCCAGGTGAAAAAAAAGTTCTGTTTTGCTGTGCACACAACTGAGGGATTATATTTTTGCTCGTTTTAATGTACTGTAATTATGTATGATTTAATGTTATATTGTTTTGTTCAGCTCTTTGAGTTGCCTTGTGTATGAATTGTGCTATACAAATACATTTGCCTTGCCTTGTGTTGCTTTGCCTTGTGATGCAACACTGAAATTTCCCCACTGTCTGACATAAAAGGCTGTCTTATTCTAACTTTAAGTATTTGTAAGAAAGAGCCCCGTGAGTCACTATTTGATAGCTGTGAGTTGATTGGCTGAGCGCGGGTGGTCCTCGCTTTTTCACCGTGCTACCTACTTTTGGTCTAAAAATACATATATGGGAAAACCAAAGTGTTAGGTGGATTTTGTTACAGAGTTTGAAAATTAGCTACCCTGAAAATGAACACAGATAATGCATCATGTGTTGTTTAAGTTATTATCCATCAGTTATTGCATGTACACAAACACACACACACACACATACACAGACACACACATACACACACATACACACACTTGCTTAGCCTAAAGTGGGGCTTTGGAAGTCACACATAATCTGCTTTCGAGACAAAGCGATCCTGTTGCTTTTCACTGGGCCCGTCATAAGCCACGCTTCAAATGAACGTGGCGCCATACCCGGATCAAACGCCTTTATAGCTCTTTCACCATTGTCCCGGCTTCTTTTGGGGAGAATTTGGAGGAAAATAATCTCCTCAAATCTCATACATATTTGGGGACTGGATTCAGCGATGTGCTTGTAACAGACAGGCGGCACATTTGAGATACTTTGTGGCGATATAAATATGCAACGTGTGATTATTGTTCATTTGTGATTCAGAGTGATGGATAAGCAGCATCAAAGACAGGATCTAAAATGGACTTTCTTTTAGGTGGGTATGATATGGAGGTAAAAAAAAAACATATCTGTGTCTTTTGCGTACTTTGACAGATGTGTAATCTCTTTTTGGTCATCCAAGGACAGCCATATTTCTTTAAAAAATACCTAAGAAAGTACAAGCAAACACATACATGGTCCAAGATCATGTCTACATACAAATACATGGGTGGGAATTCAAGAGGCCATCCATCTAACTGAGGACCAAGAATTATGGTTTTGGAGGTTAGTTTTTCAGACAGAATAGCGAAAAAATACGACCACTCTTAGATATGCAAAGGAAAACATGTTTTCTTATAAATGACAAAGACAGCATGTTTTTGGGGTCAGATTTGTTTTTTTATTTGACAGGGACAGTCAAATAAAACATTGTCACCCACAAGTAACCAATGTCAAGTACACAGGGCTTCTAGCCTAAGGCAAATTTGCAGCCCCTGTCCCTGGTAAGGCTTTTGGAGAACGGTGAAGGAAGTTTAAAAAATAGCGGAGAAAAGAACAACAACACCCATCCATCCATCCATCCATCCTCTTCCCCTTAATCCATTTCTGGGTCGGGGGGGTGGCAGTCAGATTCACTGCACCCAATTCACTTGGCACCAGCCCCTCACTGATCCTCTGCAGGTGGTGAGTCCACAGGAGGACGGCTGCTCTGTCAGTGACAATACGGCCTTGATTTTTCAGCGGGGGCTTCAGGCAATGCAGGGTTAAGTGTCTTGCCCAAGGACACAACGACAGCAGTCATCAGTGGGAGTCGGTGGAGAAGGTCCTGTGGTGGGCTTGAACCCTCGATCTTCAGGTTCAAAGGCCAGTGCTCTACCAACTGAGCTACTGTCGCAACAACAACAACACATCAATAAAAATAACTGGCCCCCTTTGTCCATACTACATCCAGTTTTAGTGCTCACACTTCTGATTTTCCTTAAGCCACTTTTTCAGTTTTGTGGAGAAAAGTCTAATGTTCACACACTTTTTATCTTTTAGATTATGTCTTTGTTGCAAACATTCATCATGTATGTGAATTACTCCATCTTTAAAGACAACGCCACCAACTCTCAGTCCAAAGTTTCAAACAGTGACTCACAAGGCTCATTTTACAACAATGCCAAATAAATATGTATTAATTAAAGACAATTACTGTTGGAACAAATGTTTTGTTCATGGAAGGGTTGTTGGATCCACCAGCTTTGAGAGTAAAAGTTAACTAAAATTACAAGTTACAACATTCTGCTCAAACCTCATTCTATAATTACTCATAATAAAAAGGGGAATTTAGGCAAACGGACAGAAACCTAAAGTTTGACTTCTTCCCATTCCATTTCAGAAACCCTAAAATGTATGTCCATGTACACACCGAATGTTTGTGACTTGAATATACTTGCAATAATTGCAATAATTTTATTCTGGAATACATTATTGAACTATAATGTGTTTCATAATATTTAATAATGAAATTAATTATAACTATCTACCTGAATATCATCTCTCTCTTCTTCCACGAGAAACTTTGTGAATTTGATATATATTGCTATCCATACATTTTCAGCTTGGGAATTATTTAACATTCTGGATGTTTAAGCTGACATTCTTAAGATCCTGGTTAAGAGCCAAAATAAACATAAATAGCGGACATATCTTTAAAGTACAGTAAAAATGCAAAGCTTCCAACACTTAAGCAGCCTGAGTAACCGATGCAGGCAGCCCTCAGCCCATGTATATTTAATCCCACCCCAATGAGCTCTCCAATGAAACGGCATAATTTATTATGTCAATTTGGCCCAATCCATATCTCCAGCGCCGGTAATCTGCACCTCTTTATGACTTTGAGTGTCGCTATTACCGCCGGTGTCATGCGTACGGCTCGTTTGTGCAAGTCACGCAAGATTTATACGGCACATAAAAACGGCCTCCCTTTGTTCACGTCCCCGGTGATGTGTGTATGTCTATGGTAATGTTTGACCAAGATACGTGGAGCCGAATAACGCCACGGTATTACAGTCAAAGCAGGCGTCTACGGAATAGTAAGTGTGGCATTAGGAACAGAGGAAGAGAAAGGACGAGAGAGAAAGGCGTGGTTCGATTTGGGAAATTCAATTGGGCTGACTGTGGGTAATGGCAAGAGCTGTGTCGTGTGTAATGTTTTCTCTGTTACAACCTAAATGGTGGGGCAATGACACCGAAAACTCCTCCGATACTTTCATTTCGTAATTCTTTAGTAAACAGACATATTTAAATTTAGAATGTGGAATAAAAAAGTGAAAATTCTATCGGCGCACTAGTGCTTATTACAACAAAGGCTGTTGTCATTTCAAATTGCGGTCAAGAGTTTTGCGTTACGTTTGACCATATCCCTGTGCTACCACCAGAGGGAGATAAATAAATTAATTCAGCGGTAACACTTTATATTAATGGTACATGAGTTCATGCATGATTCTCGTGAACACAAACACAAAGTGTTACCAATTTAGCTTTCAAAAACTTGAAAACTACCTTCTGCAAACCCAGACATGTGATTGTAAAGAACATCATCTTACTTGAGAAATTACAAAACATTAACATTTCTGCCACACCCGGACGCAGAAATGTACAAAGGGCAGGAAAATGGAGAAATGAATGGATGAGGCAGATACATGTTTGCGCTAGAAGTTCCTGATATTAGCGTGGATGGATCCAAAAACAACAGCTGGTCTGTTTTTAATGAGGGAATAATGTTGTGACATGGTTAAAAGCTAAAGGAGTGGATTTAGCGTAAAACAGAATATAGAACAGACATAGTACAGAATTCACTCAGACACACTTCTCAAAAGGTGACAGTGAGTGAACTTGAAGAGTATGGATTTCTATTGCACATATCATGCAGGACTGCTACTCAAACTCTCAAGAGATTGAAGAGAGAATTGGACCAAATAAGGAAAGGCAAACACAAATGTACTTAACTCTTTTTAATTTACATCCCTGTAAATGGAAAAGAGTTAAGTACATAATTGAGAGCAGATTACAGGAGGTTCTTCAAATTATTTTCAACTATTGTTATTAACAATAACATATGAGGGTCATAAGGTCTACCATGACATGCTGTAAATCATTTTGAAACAATAATTCTCAAGAAAAATGTAATTTATTGAAATATAGACGTTGATATTAATAAAGCGGTTCATAATAATACTTCAGTATCAGTCTGCAGTGACAAGCTTTTCTTACTGTTGGTTCAATCCCAGCGACTAATTTTGTTCAGAAAAAATTTGGTCAAAATATGTTCAGTAAATAATGAAATAAATATGTACGATGAAACAAATATATAACATAAAGATTACCAGAGGAAAAATATGAGCTAAAACTAACTTTCAATTCAGAAAATTATGAAAACATAGCCTAATAAAAGTGTGTTTTGTTGTTTGTTCAGTAATACGGATCCAGAGTTTGAACCCACTCATTTTAAGAACGTTTCTGGAGCGTCATCCACAATCCTTTGTTAGTTGTCTGTTTTAGAAGCAAAAGTTCATATAACTCTCAATATAAAACGGATTTCCCCTTCATTAATTTTGCACTTTCTCTAAATCAACCCCATTAGTCAAATGTGGGCCAGTTCTTTCAATATAAACTCAACCCACTGTACTTTCTCCGCTCTATTAGCAAACGGCTGCTCTTGTGTTTGTTTGTGTGTCTGTGTTTGTGTGTCTGCGATTGTGTGTCTGTGTGCGCGCCTGGTTCAAAGAGCATCTCGCTGTCACACACGCTTTAATCTTGAGCAGGTGCACTCACAACAGACAGCAAAACAAACGTTAAGTAGAGCGATACGCCGCCACCGCACGCGATACCATAGCAACTTGAGGGGCCGGGCGGACAGTGATTGCCTCAGACACGTGGAACCAGACAAGTATGCACCCCGTCACTCCTCAATATCGTTATGAGCGGTTGATTTTAGCTGAAGGAGCACAACTGGGCTGTTCGCAGGGTTTTTGCCAGTGATTAGCATTGACGCACAAGTGCTTAATACAACAAGGGCTGTTGTCATTTGAAATTGCGGTCAAGAGTTCAGCGTTACGTTTGACCATAAGTGAAAACATACACAGTCTTATCTGCATAAAAGAAACAACGGAACAAGCAAACTTTTTTTACAGTATTTCGAGCAAGTAAGTGGGCATAGAAATAATGAGTACAAATGAATCACAAGCACCTTAGGTACATTTACAAAATATAATAAAAACATCAAAACAATATACTGTCCGCCTTCCCGTCTACATTAATCTGTTTAGATCAATGGTTTAATACAGGTTCCTTTTCTTGCTTTTCCTTTTCCACCTTCGGGGACCTAACTTTAATTTTGCAGATTACAGAGGAGCAAAAAAGGTATAGCCAGCCATCAATTATGCAGGTCCTTAAATAGATGAGCGATGCCTGTAATTATCACCGTAGGTAAACCTTAACTATGCGAGACAAAATTAGAGAAAATCCAGAAAACCAAAAGATTTTTTAGAAAAATGTTTGTGCACATTATAGTAAAAATGAGGTATTTATTCAGTGACAAAAGTCCATCTCAATTCTTTATTCTTATATACCCTTTGTTGGCAACGACAGAGGTCAGATGTTTTCTGTCCGTCTTCACAAGGTTTTCACAATATACATTGGTGGTATTTTGCCCCTTTCCTCCATCTAGAGATAGATGTTTTGGGGTAACCTTGCCTGCAAGCTGAATTCTCAAGGTATTTGTGAGTTCACAAACACAGGAGAATAAATCTTGCACCTCTCCCTCCATACACTTTTCGAGTAGAACATTTAGGTGTTCCATGGGCCAGTCTTGAAGTTTAGGGCGGGATATCCGGGCTTGACGAAAGTAAGCAGTGCAGAGCCGAGGAAAAACAAACATGGCCACCCAGCAGGATGGGCACGTAGCTGAGGCTATCAAGTCAGTTTTAGCAGAATCTCCTATTTCTTTTTTGAAAGATGTTGTGTTGTGTTGGCGAGGTTGCCTTTACTCCTCAAAAACGGCAAAAGTCATTCAAAGACATGATGACAAGGCAGTCATAATCCAAAAATAACTAGTTTAGTCCAGCGCAACTTGTTGGGGTTTCTCCAGGCACACACTCTTGTGTGTTTACAGCCCTGTGTAAAAGTTAAGATCTTCTCTAATTTTTTTGTTTTCTTTCAGGGACATTATTGGGGGGGAAAAATGAACCTTTCAGCAGATTGGATTGGCTCAACTTGCCCGTTGGCTCTTTGTGGTAAAGAGCATTACTTATTAATCTTTCCAGTATCGGTACAAGGTGAGCTGATCCTGATAATCCACCTATAATCACTTCCAAAGGTCAAAAAGGCCATTGACCCTACAAGTATTTTGAAGAATGAAAATGATACAAACATTCGATACGGATTTATCATGGCCAGAACTTTTAAAGTAATGGTCTGGAACGCTAAATGAATTGCAAATTTTAAGAATTGTTTTAAATTGACCTCCTGGCCGTAAATGTCGATATAAAATAAGTCATTTTCCATCCATCCATCCATTTTCTACCCTTTAATCCATTTCTGGGTCAGGGGGGTGGCAATCAGAGATACCACCCAAGTCTCATAGCACCAGCCCCTCACTGACCCTCTGCAGGTGGTGAGTCCACAGGAGGACGGCTGCTCTCTGAGTGTGAGCATAGCCTTGATCTTTCAGTGGGGGCTTTGGGCAAAGTGGGGTTAAGTGTCTTGCCCAAGGACACAACGACAGCAGTCATCAGTGGGAGTCGGTGGAGAAGGTGCAGAGGTGGGAATTGAACCCACGACCTTCTGGCCTTAAGGCCAATGCTCTACCAACTGAGCTACTGTCAATAAGTCATTTTATGAATTCTAATATAACGGGTAAAGCCCGCCTTCCCTTCTCTTATCTATAGCTCAAAATTTAACCAATCAAGTGTTGCCAAGGGCTGTCAATCATTGTGCCCGTACATAATTTGATTATTAAAAAAGATTATATATATATATATATATACATAATATCTTTTTAAAATGATATACCGTATATAAAATAGTTAGTTACCAAAGGTTTTGCCGTGACATGGCTAGACCAGGTAACAGCTAGGCTAGCTAGTTGGTGACATCAAAACTAGAACTCTCTGGAACAGATCATCTACAAGTGCGTCCTAAAATGTTCTACTAATGTTAATAGTTACTTCTGGATTTACCGCGATCGCTTTTTGTCACGTTAAAACAGTATTTTTGTCACGAAAATGTTAACAGATTCTGAAAACCTCTGTGAACGTGTGCTAAGAATGTATATGTATAATGTATTCTCCGATTAATATTTAAATGTGTTGATAGATTGTTATTTGAGTTTATTGAGCGTGGCTAGCTCTGATAGCTTCTGTGCACAGACAGAAGCAGCGACAGGCGCTGAAAGCCCGTTGTGACGAAGTGGCCGTACAACTGTCTAGAGTAATCTTTGTATTTTAGACACCTGAATTACCAGCACAGAGTGCGTTGCTAAAGGGCAGCGGCCATTACTGGTTTGAGAGGTCCATTATTAAGAAATAATAATCGGTAGAACGTTTTGAAATTACATTAAAATCAAAGGAGCATTCTACTGCTGCTGTGAGGAGCTGTATAATAAATTATGATTAAATATTAAAATATTTAAATCAATAATCTCTCCTCCGCACATCTTAGCCATGGATCTATTAGGTCTTGGTTCAATGTCCTGGTACGTGCACGGAAAAGTAGACGCGGCTTCAAGACCAATCAGAAAGGAAGGGGAAGGGAGCTTGGGTCGTTTTTTTGTTTCAAATCATGTTCTCTCATGAAACAAAGTCCAGGCTATCACTTTAAGCTTTGAGCATGTTTTAGTTGTTGTCAGCTGTTCCTGTTTCTTTTATTAATTCCATATTGCTCTCTTCCTCTGAACACCACCACAGAGAATGTTTTATTTGTTAAAAGAAAAGCAACCCATTATCCAATCTGATTGGATAATCTGCTTGAAATGGTCTGGTCTGTACATAATGTATTTTTTAAGCGACAATACATGTCTTTAGATGTCTAAATACTGTATGTTATATGATGAAGTCATTTTTGATGATTATAAGCTGATGTTTGAGATATTTGGGAAACAAAGTGAGGAGGAAAGTGTCCGGCATGTCCTCACAAAAAAACTGCCCTTACTGCCCTTCACAACAGCAGCTTCAACAATGACTCAATCTTCAGCCGCTGAGGCCAAACATGGTTCACATCCAAGAAAATCACTGTGATGTTTGTGAAAGTGATACTTTCAGAATGTGTAGGAGCTTTAATCACTGTTTGTCACGAGTTTGCATACAAATTTATAATCCTGCTACAAATTTACAAATTGCTACCAATTACCAATGGAACTAGCCATTTTTAATTGAATTTTAAAGATATTTTATACTTTTATAATGTAACATAATATTTGAGAATATTTGTGAAACATAACATTTCAAATCTGCTGAATATTTGAAATGTTGCTTCATACACATTATTACATAGATTAGAATGTTTTAGGAGCATCTACACATGCAGTAGGTGGACCTCATTTTAGGCAAGACCATGTTTGTGCTAAAATAAATACTGTAGCTCTCTAGGTGTAAAAGGGTGGGTTCCTGAGCCAGAGGAAGAGGGGTATTCATGACATGGTGCTGATATTAAATCAGAATCAGAATCAGAATCAGAATCAGAATCAGAATCAGAATCATTTTTATTGCCACGTGAGTAACAAAGTTATCACTTGGAAATTGTTTTGGCAGAGAGCGTGCCACTTCGCCATTTGCGGCGCTGTGTGCAGCAAGAAACAGCAGAGAGCAATAACATACAGTTCACAGACAATTGGATAGACACATTGTGCTTTTTATAAACCACGGATTTTTTTCTCGGGAAGAGCACCTCTTCGGCCGGCCCAATGTAGCTGTCAGAGGGGGGCGGGATCAGGGAGGGGGTGAGTAGGAAAACAATAAGGAATGGAGGGGAGGGAGGGAGCAAGATGGATAGGTAGAGGGAGGCGGGGGTGGGGGATCCTTGCTGAAGACTGAAATAGTGTGAGTTGTTGTAGATTGTGGGACCTTGTTTATGGCCTTGGCTGAGGAATGTGAGATAAGAGTGGAGAGAAGCCACAGGAGGAGAAAAACACATCGCCTGCAATGTCGCAGTCAAAAGCAGGCAGATATTCTATTAATTCCAATTAAACCGAATTCCGGTGCCCTCAGACCTCCGTACACAGGGGCAAATCCAAGCCGGGTCAGAGAGATCGAGCCTGACAAACAATGTCATTCAATCTCAATTCTAAAGTCTTATGTCCATCAAGTGAACGAGCTGCGAGGTCTTTGATCAACTGTTCCACCAAAACCACCCTTCTTTGTCCAGACACGGCACTCTCAACCACGACACGGCTAAGCTCCTTGTACATCCCATCAATTTTATCGGCCAGCAGGTCGTGAATCTTGCGAACTGCCATGCCTCCGAATTTGTGGTAGAAGAGGATCGCTCCAAACCCAAACAGGAGGATTCCCACCACCAAAATGCCAAAGATATATACGTCTTCCGAATCTTCAATGGACAGGGTCGACAGACAGAGGGGCTGCCACTTGTTCCAGCTGTCAAGCGTATACCCCGCTGGTGAAGTCCCGTCCGGACACACGGGCTCTCCAGACCCACGCTTACGTGTTGAAAAGATAGAATCAATTGCGTTGAGGGACCAATTAATCATTTCCATTCTGTTAAAGTTGTCTGTGGCAAAGCTCCAGGAAAAAAGACAAAAACAGGAGATAGCAAGCCGTTCAGAAGCAGGAGCGGACTAAGACACGTCTTTGCTCGACGGAGGAGGAAGGAGGAGAGATTAAATGTTGTTCCTTGGAAAAGGGCAAGAACAACAAAATGGCTCCTGGGGACGGTACATTATTCACAGATTGTTTAGTATGCATTGGGGAAGAGGAGATGGGAGTCCTACACTGAGCCTCACCGATCAGCTGTGAGTGTGCAGCATAGTAATGTCTGCTGCAGGAGCCCCGAGAGCCACTGATGGAGCTGGGGGTCACACAGATGGGGCTGGGGTCTCACTGATGGGGTTGGGGGTCACACTGATGGAGCTGGGTCACACTGATGGAGCCGGGTCAGACAACAGCGCATTTGGTCAGAAGGATTTGGTTTTGAAATGGTACTGTATATGTTTGTGAGACCCGTATTTAATGTATGTGATTTTCTAATTCTTTAAAATATATATAAACACTGTATATTACTAAAAAGATTGGTCTGTGCTATTGTTATTCAATGTTGGGTTTTTTCATCCCAGTCAGCGCTCTTTCAATATGCTTTTGCTTTGTGATTTTTTGTTTTCTTGGCATGAAACTGTAAATGAAAGAAAATAAATCAGAATCATTTGTTGCTATGCAGAATGAATTTCGTTTTTATTTTTTTTACCCAATGTGCTTAAAATGTGTTGAGGTTGTGTTTTTTGCTTTGCCTTCCTCCTCCCTTTCTGTTTTTCAGGGCATGTGTGTGACAGGGGCGTGGCTGGCTCTGCTGCTGCTGTGAAACTCTCACACCTCTATCTTACTCACTCGTCACCCTGGCATCAAGACTCTGGTTCAGACTGCACTGTGTCCTGTGTTCAGCTCCGCATTTCCAACCAGCCAGGTCCACGGCTACTCTGCCCGCTTTCTGTTCAGTTTTTGTTGTTTTTTGTTGTTTTTATTTTATTTTTTTATTTTTTTATTCCTACCCGGTCTCTGTTTTGGGTTCCAACACACAATCATAACAAAAATGTAGGACAAATAAAATCAAATCACATTAAAAGTGTTTTGTTTACAAGGAGAGTAATGGGAGAAAGCTGCTGCAGCTACTTACAGTTTTACACAAGGAACAGTGGCTGTTTGCTTGTGAATGAATGACAGCGGTTCTGTATAATTCATCTACGTCCCGCTAAGCTGATACAGATCAGAGAATTAAATACAATAAAACAGAGAATCCATTGGTATTGGCCCATAACTGTTGATAAATGTCTATAAATGTTGAAGAATGTTAAGTGTCCTAGATCATCACCACTGTCCTTTTAGTTAGACCCTCCTGCATTTGCAAGGAAAACTCTAAACCCAGTGGGACAAGTGCGAAACCTTGGGAAGGTCCACATTGAGTGAGAGATCCGCTCCCATGGATGGACGGGCAAAAGATCCTATAGATTCCATCTTAAAATGATGAATACATTGATAATGCTAAAACAACACTGCTGACATCCGCAGGACACTGTGACATGTGCAGGTCCTCCTGGACTCTGGGCTTCAGCTGCTCCCCTGGCTCAGCACACAGACCTGGGATTAAACACAACAACAGGAAAAAAGCATGATCAATCTGTACCATCCGCTTCATCTTCTGCACAGCGGGGCTCCTGAGTTTACAGCCGCACACTAAGAGCTTCCAGGGCTATTTTTAGCACATTCCCATCAACCTGTGCAGAGGTGAAGGATGGAACATCTGCTACAGTATCTGCCACATTCCAACTGCAGTCTTAAATTAACACACATCCAAAAAGATGCAAGATAAATGTAGGGAAACGTTTGTGAGAAACTATTTTGCTGTTTGGAAAATAGTCACTGCAATTCTGCTAAAGTTGCACCAAAAGGAATTTGAATCGCTGAGATTTCAAAATCATGTATTATGAATTTAGTGGTAGGATAATGTGCGATGACACTGACATTTCCCCACTGGGACAGGTAAAGGCTCTCTTATCTTCTCTCATTATCTCAGGTCTTGGCTCTTCATGTTTCTGTCCTCCTCTAACCTCCCCATATCAGCAGAGCCCGCCTGTCACCAGCCTACAGGACACACAGCCTGTGACGACTGCAGACATTCTGACCAGAGGGACTCAGAGGGACTCAGAGTGACATCAGTGACAGACAGACGGGCCTGGCTAAGCTCCTGGGTGGCACCGTGGGGCACCTCGGACAGGACCAGGGGGCAATAGAAAACCATCCAAACACTGGAGTGTGGGCGTCTGAGGGCAGAGGGCAGTGGTCTGGTGGGACTGAAGGTCTGTAGGGAGGTGTGGTCCGGACCTGCACCATAAGTCACGTGTCAAAAAAGTGACATACAGTAGCATGTGCCTTATTGGAGAGAATTTCCATGAATGTGTCCAATTTTTGGCAGTTTCACTTTGCTGTACAAGGGTTTCTTACTTAACCTAAACCTACAGTATGTAAGAAACATATTACCTAATACCAACATTTATATTCTATAGGCAAAAGAAACCAATGTAGTGTTTTAAGTATACTCTAATACAGGGGTCTTCAACCTGTAGCTCCGGAGCCACCAGTAGCTCACCACCTCCTTCCAGGAAGCTCGCCAAAGGATTTAGATATGTACAAAATATATAATATACTAACTATTTCAGATGGTATTATTCATTATATTCCTGTAATGCACTTATTTTGTGCACTAGTAACAGATATGCGATGATAAATAGTGATTGTATCCAATAACAGACTAGTTAACACCGATATATCACCACATTTTTCCTAGGGCTGCTTAAAGGAGTAACTATCTGCCTTTATTGTCACGGGAAAGTAGCTCTCTGGATGAAAAAGGTTGGAGACCCCTGCTCTAATCCGTTTAGTTTAGGTTAAGAAACCTTAAGTTTTGTTTTTTGTACTTTAAGCTGTACCGTTTGTGCCGAGAAATAATTGAATAATGAATGTGTTGTTTGGTTGTGTATGGCACTGAACATTACAGTAGGTCCAGACTGTGACAGGGCTTGCATCTCAGTTAGGGCACCATGTTAAAGTCATGTTAATGGTATGATTCTATTGAAATATAAAGCACTCGTTTAAAGCACTTTGAGTTGCCTTGTTAATGCATTTTGCTTTTCACAAAAACATGTTGTGCTTTTCCATAATCAAGGCAATCGGGTGGCACGGTGGCTGAGTGGATAGCACTCTCGCTTCTTAGAAAGAAGGTCCTGGGTTCGAATCCTGGTCAGAACAGGGTCTGCACGTTCTCCCAGTGCCTGCGTAGGTTTCCCCTACCACTAAAAACATGTTAGATCCTCCAGCTCCTGTAGTCCTGACTAAGCCGAGCATCCACATATGGAGTTCCTATGGTGATTGATAAAGTGCACCTTTACCTTTAATTTGGGTGGCCTTAGATCTCCTCGGTTTGTACTGCAGTAAAAGCCAGCTCCGAGAACCTGGGAGTGTGAGTTGTAGTGGTATAGTAGCATAGAACTAAACATCCGTCCATCCATCCATTTACTTCCCCTTAATCCATTTCTGGGTCGGGGGGTGGCAGTCAGAGCTGCACCCAGTACAGAGAGCACCAGCCCCTCACTGATCCTCCTGCAGGTGGTGAGTCCACAGGAGCTGATCTTTCAGTTGGGGCTTTGGGCAAAGTAGGGTTAAGTGTCTTGCCCAAGGACACAACAACAGCAGTCATCAGTGGGAGTCGTGAAGTAGGTCTTACGGTGGGCTCGAACCCACGACCTTCAGGCCCAAAGGCCAATGCTCTACCAACTGAGCTACTGTTCTAGAATTAAACAAGGCGGTGGAAATGGATGACAAAGCCGTACATTTTGTGTTTGCAATGAGCCACAAAATTGAGCAGTTAAAGTCTGAACAAAGATGTTATTTCCCTGAATCCTTCATACGTCGCAACCCAATTGCAGAGATTGTTTGAAGCAAAAAGGTACCTACCCACTGTGGTGTGCCATTTCACACGGCTTCCAGAAAGTGACATGAGACCAGCTGATACATAAGGCTTTACCTAGATACCAGCACTTATGACGTTACAAAGAGGCCTCAAAAGTGTCTTGAGATGACCCAAGTAGACGAATGCACTTCCTGATGAAGAAATATGAGGTGGACCAAGACCCATTAAAACCCCTTTAAAACACGGTTCACCATGTCTCACGGCTGGACAATCATTTGAGATCCATTAAAAAAAACAAAAGACAGAGATAAATATTTGAACAAGCTTAAATTGGGCTGTCTGTAAACTAAATGAACACGGGAAAAACAAACGGGTGTAAAAATAGTTCTCCGGTCTCTGCGGTCTCACCTCGCCTTTGATGAATAATGGAGCAGGATGGGCCCTAGCGTTTTTGGGGATTTGCGTTCTCGCTCTCTCTGATCGTAGTAAACACTGCATGATTTATCAAAGGCTTGGCCGGCTGGCGGAGGGTCCTGGACAGCACTGGAGGAGGGGCTAGTGCTGGCTGGTGCAGGCTGTTGGGCATTCCAGAGATCGGAAAGCAAGAGAAAAATAGCTATTCCCAGGATGCTGCTGTCGAGGAGCTGAAGTAGAGCAGGATACTGATTTATGTCTAGTATTTCAATTATCTATAAAAGTGAAGTGTCCTGGTCATTTGACCCATCCAGCAATGCTATTAAGGTCTCTGTCAGGAGCAGTGGTCACCGTAGAACAGAACCCGGGGAGCCAACTCAAGATGTTGATGCTCGGCTTTGTTCAGAATGACCGAAGCTGGAAGATTTGACCAACTGTACGTACAATTTTTGGATGGTAGGGGTAACTAGAGCACCCAGAGAAAACCTACGCAGACACAGGGAGAACATGCTAACTCCGCTCTGAAAGGCCCTGGGATTGAAACCCAGGTTGTCTCGGTTGGCTTTTGGAGTTTGGATATTCTGCCATTGTTCACATTGGTTTCCTCCGTGTGCTCCAGTGTCCCCCTTCCGAAGCCAACAAGAGCTTATAATGTTATGAAATTGGCTGATTGAGATTAAAGAGAAAAGTCCAGCAGAGTTTTCTGTAATTTGACCATTACCTGTGAACTTTCAGCATTTCATATTTGTTAGATCCTCTGATGTGATGTTGTAAATTAGGGCTATACAAGAATACATTTTAAGAAATCTGTTCTGAAATTCTGAAAGTAAAATCCATATTGGTTCATGTTTCAGTTGGAGGAAATTATTTAACTAAGTTCTCAAGATTGTGTTTGAGGGACAAAATGAACACAAACGATTGGTTCGTACATACAGGGGCAGTTTCAATATTGAACCATTATGCATTGGAAATGGCCGATGACCAATGCAATTTATACCATTCTAAACATAACATTTCCTCGACTCTAATTCCAAATGTGAGGCTTGAGAATAATGCCATGTTGAGTTTGGAGCAGCTTGTTCGTTGTCGGCACACTGTACTCGTCACACTGTTTGGATCACAGGAAGAGCCTAGAGCCGACATAACACTCCAGATTCACACTCTATTTCAGGCTGTGGAGCAAAGTGTAAAGAGGGGATGGACCCTTTGTAGTCAGTGAGAGGGAGAGACAGGAGTAGTGCAATAACTACAATGATACATAGAAATGCTCGAGTACAGCACGCGTGTATTGCCATTGTCTTGGTTAAAGCTGAAGTACCTAACTTTGAAAGCACGACAAAATAATTATTGAATAAGATCCATGTAAACAGTCTTTTGCCCTCAGTAATGTTCGGTTCTAGCACTAGTTTTCACACACATGTGTTTGAACCCTCACTCAATGAGCTGAGTAAAAGATAAAAAAAGTTTTCTTATAGGTTAAAGACAGAGTATTGTGGTCTGATTTGTTCACAAAATGTAACATAATTATTTTCTCTCTTTTTGTCGAGACTAACAACATTTACCCAGTGGGGAAATGTCAGTGTCATCGTACAGTATATATTTGATCACAAACCTTTGTTAGCTCAGCTTTTTAAGAGGATGTAACCAAATCCACCCTAATTAACATCAACAATTTATTCCATTTCCATTAGCGGCTCATCCATTTCCTCCTCTCCTCAGGTAAAGAGTCTGGGTGTCCTCGACAGAACCCTATCATTCACCGCACACATCAATAGCATCACCTGCATCGCCTACTTCCATCTCAGAAACATCCGCCAACTCCGCCCCTCTCTCTCCCCTCACACCACTGCCATACTCATACACAGCCTCGTCACCTCCCGCCTTGACTACTGCAACTCCCTCCTGTTCGGTCTCCCGCAAAAAACCTCCATAAACATCCAACTGGTCCAAAACACAGCCGCCTGTCTCATCACACACCCCCTCTACATCAACCACATCACCCCTGTCCTACAGCTCCAGTGGCTCCCATCACTGACCGCATCCAATACAAAATCCTGCTCCTCACATACAAAGCCATGCACAACCTTGCTCCTCCATACCTGAATGACCTCCTCCAGATTTCCACACCTACCCGCTTCCAAACGCACCTCCTCCTCTCTCCAGCTCCTGGTCCCTCCTACCCACCTCATCACCATGGGGAGTAGAGGCTCCGGAACATGGTGCTCCCCAGCTCCGGAACACTTTCCCCCCCTGACTTCTGTAACACCGACTCACTCACACTCTTCAAATCCACTCTCAAAACTCATCTGTTTGGACGAGCCTACTCACTAACATCATAACCACACAATTCATTCTGCTTTGAACTGTGTTTTAACTCAATGTACTTTTTACTTTTGATGTAAGGCAATCTTGAGTGTCTAGAAAGACGCCCACGAAATAAAATGTATTATTATCATTACACTGGGTAACAAAAACATATTTTTGAAAATAGTCCAGGGTTTTCCAGCTGAATTAGACTAATTTTGATGCTCTGAGTCCGAAAATGACCTTGGTTTTGCTCAACCAGGTCAGGATTTTTTGCTACAGAAATATTTTTTTTAATCGATTTTGCGTAAAAAAGAAAATTCTGCGGATCATCAGCTGAGAAACCCTTGACGTTTTTTCCGTTTTTCTCAAAAAATAAAAGTCAACGTATCCAAAGTCACAGTTTTTATTTACTCCATTAAATTTGATAAGCAGAATTCATAATAACGTAGACGTACGTAATCCGTATCACTATGGCTGTATCTCAAAAAGTTGACCTGATGGAGAAAAATGCATGTGATATTCGGACTCAGAACACCAAAATTCGTCTAAATCAGTTGAGAAACCCCTGACCATTTTTTGGCTGTCAACTTGTGTTATTATTGT